AAACGTGTGGCTGTTGTAAAGTCAGCTGTCATTGTGGGGAGACTAGGCCCATAGTAGGTGTAACAACAGTACGTAGGACTTGCTGTCATTTCATCCCCTGATGTATTCCTCCTCACTGGTGGTCGTAGACTAGGCAACAGCCATGAATCAAAGTCCTCTCCTATGAGGCCACAGGAGAGGTTCTTCTTTAGGGGAAGGTTCTGGAATTGCAGAACCAGAGGATTTCTCATGGTGGGCTGTGGACAGATGGACAGCATGTGCCAGGATTGGAGGAAGGGCCAGAGCCTTGGGGAAGGAAAGCAAAAGCCAGGATGGGCAAAAAGAGAGATCTACTCACAAGTTTTATCAGTAACACGAGCAGCTTTGCTCCCAGAGCAGTACTTGTGGGTGAGGGCAGGATGTGCCAGGAGAGAGCGCTCTGACACCCCAAGGGCCTAAGCAGGAAGGAGCTGCTTCTGTGGAGTCCACTGGCCCAGGCCAGTGAGGATATGAGAGCAGGATATGAGAGGAGGCCAAGCCCACTGTCTCCTGTTTTATCTTTGCAGTTCCTAAGGGGCTTTCCCAGTGTCTTCACACCTTGATGTCCTTGGCCCTTGATTTTTATACTCCCAAAGGGGAGGAACAGGCAGCCATTCTTATTTTCATTTCCAGCATGAGGTACCTGAGCCTATGGCAGAACAGAGCACCTGGCTCAAGGCCCAACAGGGAGTGCAAGCAGGAATCCAGACAGCTCCTCTGTCTCAAGACCTCACATTTCTGCTTCAGAAGCCACAGTCTTGCTTCATTCCCACATGGGGAATCGTATTTTGATGCCCAGTTTCCAGAAGGCAAAGAGCAGAGGCTCCATTTCTGCCTGTCTGGTCTGCAGTCTCCTGTGGCAGTGGACCAGGGAAGCCAGGGTGCACTTGCTGTCCACCTTCTAAGTGTGAAGCAGCCTGTGTGGCTCAAGATGACTGCTGAAAAGGTATTGAATGAATTAACTGCTGAAAGTTGAGTGAATCAATGAATGAACAGATTTGGCCTAAGAAAAGCCACTTTATTTCACTCTACACCGTCACCTGGACTCTAAACCAGGGGCACATGACACCCCTTCCCAACAAGGATGCTTACTCTGTTGTGGTCTGTTTGTGTTCAGGCCCACCCGGGAAAGCGAAGACAAGGAGGATGAGGAGAAGAAGGGACAAGGCTGCTCCCTGCAGTACCAGCATGCCCTGGTGCGCGTCCTCACCCAGTTTGTGACCCAGTCATCTAACCTACATGTTGGGCCCAGACAGGCAGTTTGACATCACTGACCTCGTGACAGAGTTCATGAAGGTGGAGGAGCCCAGAGTCGCCCAGTTACAGGATGGCAGGACCCTGGTTGGTCGGGAGCTGGGAATCACCACTGTTCAGGTACAGGGGGTTCATGTTTTGCCACCTCTCCAACACCAGTACCTGCTGATGATGTAGGCAAATGCTGCCATGGAGGGGTGTGCACATGTGTGAGGGTGATTGTGCAAATGTGCAGATACTGGGTCTTCCTGTAACAGAATCATGAGGAAGCAATAGAGTATTCACCAATTTTAATAACCTAAACACATTTTGTATTTTAGAGAGGGTTGAGAAAAATGCCTGATCTGTTTTTACCAGAGAAAGCTAAATGAAACACATAGTGTAAGTCACCCTTTTCCCGATATGACACTTTTTTTTTAATCTGTACTAGGAGGTGGTAGAACCTCTGAAAGCAAATTTCTCCTCAACCTTAACATTTAACCATTTAGCTATATTATACCTTTAACAGTAGGCAAAGATTTTCTAGAGCATGTATTTGGCTATAAATCACAAAGAATCCATAGTTAAAAGCTCTCTATTTTCATCATACATTTAATAGTAAAATAATTTCTAACTGATTTTGGCAAGATTAAAAAGGAAAAAGTCACAGCTTGTTTTATTTTTGCAAATTTAAAATGTTACTGCTCATAGTTAATTATGTCTTATTTTAGGTATTGCCAAAGTTAATTTTCACAAAGTTGAATTAAACATGTAACATTCTATATTCGTGTCTATTTCTGTGTAATATATTACCACCAATTTAACATTTCAAGACAACAGTAGTTTATTAAGTTATATTCTGTGGGTAGGCTGGTTCTATGCTCAGGGTTCCTAAGGCTGAGATTCAGGTGCTGGCTGGGCTTGGCCTTAATCTTGGAGTTTTGGGAACTCATTGGCTTTTAATCTCATTCAGTTTCTTGGAAGAACTTAACTCTCTTATAGTTACAGCATTGAGGTCACAGTTTCCTTACTGTCAGCCAGGTGTTGCCCTGTCCTCTAAGAGGACCCCTCCATTCCTTCTCACATGGTCTCTCTCTCATCAGTAATGGCTGTATTCAGTCTTTCTCACACTTAGAGTCTGAATTCTCCTGCTACCAGCTGGGAAACTCACTCTGCTGTTAAGGGTTCCTGTATAATTCGGGAGACCCTTTTTTTTAGAGCCAGCTATGCCATATAACAATGTGATTGTAGAGTGCTTTCTCATTGTGTTTGAAGGTTAAAGTCAACATTTAGGGGGACTGTTCTAGAAATTGTGCCTTTGACATATTCCTATCCCGGTTTCAGTCTCCCATGGTTGCACATTAGATGGTAAAGTGGTAGGAATGACTCCTTAGGACATGACTATTCCCTGCCCCACTTTAACTGTTCATCCAGTTAGCCCACAGTGGTCCACACAGTGATCATATTGTCCCATGATAGGCATCTAACCTGCCCATTGGAAGGGATGTGAGTAGGAGGAGAGGGCTGAGCACCATTTCCTTCAAAAGAGTTGACCATAGGCCAGTGCTTTCAAAGCCTGAATTTCAGTTGTTGAGAAAGTGCTACTCTTTGAGTGTTGAATACCAAGACAGGAAATTTGAGTTATTGCCTCTAACTTAAAACAAGCTTATCACAGAAAATACACTGTTGTTATCATGGCATGAATCCCAAGAAAGGAAGTGGATTAAGGTGACCTTTATAAAACTCCTTCAAGTGCTAAGTTTAATTGGACAATGGCAGGATACCTACGTAAGCTGTCTTCCTGTGTGTGCTCTGTAGAGCACTGCAGAGTCTCCCGAGGCCCCGCCAGCTCCAGGACTTGAAATTGTCATGTGGGCAGAGACCGTGCTTTCTCACTTACTCCCCACGTCCTCTCACCTCTCTCTGACTCCATCCTGGCTGAGAAGACAGTGTTTGTCCTGGATGACCGCGTCACCATCGTGGAGCTGGGCGTGCAGCTGGTGGCTGGCTTGTCCCTCTCCCTGCAGCCTCACAGGGTGGACCGAAGGGTCATCGTCTCCACAGTGGCTGCCCAGGATGTCCTCCAGGCCCCACAGCAGGTGAGAGCCTGGAGGCCTGTGCCCTGGTCCATGGTCAGCTCCTCTCCAGGTCGTTTTGTCCTACACAAAAGGTCAGCAGGGTCTCGCAGCCCCTCGCAGCCCCTTGCTGTTCTTGGAGCTGCTCCCTGCATCTCCCCTAGCACATTGGGTCTAGGAAATCGTGTAGAGACAGAGGCTCATTTCCTCTGCCATTTGTTCTCCAGGAGGATAACCTATGATAGGCACAGTCTGCTGTTGGACTGTGAGCTTAGGGCCATGTTTTTTTACCTTGGCCAAACCAAATGGGTAATTTTTGATACTGCATCTTGCTAAGTTGCTGAGACTGGCACTGAACTCATGATCCTCCTGCCTCAACCTCCTGGTTGGCTAGGATTACAGGTGTGCATCACTTTGCCTGGCTGTTGCAAATCATTTATAAAGATAACCAAGGCAATGGGCCGTTCAAGCAGTCCAACTTCATAATCCATTGTTTACCAAGAAATTTACCAGAGTGCGTTTTGCTTCATCAGCATTGGCTTCCTAATAAAGAAGGTTCAAAGCGATATTATCTTTAGCAGTAGCCTGACTAGTTGCATCTAAAATTGATTCAGATAAATTGCCTGATCTTTCAAAGTGTTTTTAGAAAGGTCAAAGTCAAATTCTTTGATATGGCATGCAATAAATTAATTTACAATTTAGTGCATTCATAAAAACTTATTATTTATTTCTCATACCAGTGGAGCTCCTGAAGATTTTTGATGCCAGTTCAAGGCATGACAAAAACTGGTAAAGATTATAAAACGGAAGATTTTTTCCTACATATACTTAAAAGCGTTTATGTAGGATATCTTGCTTATGTTGTAAATTTGAAGGGAGCTGATCATGCTTTGATTTCGTTTTCCTCAGGAAGCCATAGTCAGTTCTTGGATTTTGTTCAGTGATGGCTCCATGACACCTTTAGACATTTATGATCTCTAGGATTTTTCCATAACTGTCTCATCATTGGATGAAATGGTGCTGTCTGTCCAGCCAAACTTGCTGTCCCAGTGGCCAGTTGTGGTTGCAGAGGGTGAAGGACAAGGGCCCCTGATAAAGTTGGAGATGATGATCAGTGAGCCTTGCCAGAAGACCAAGAGGAAGAGTGTTCTTGCTGTGAGTAAAGGAATCGTCAAGGTCAGGTTTGCACTAGGCATCTAGGCGCAGCACCGAGGAGGCAGCAATGACATTGAGGGCGTGAACTGGGAATACAAAGATCACCTGAGCAACTCCATGGAGTGGGGAGGGAGCCAGGAGCGAGCAGTCCAGGAGTGGCTCCAGCGTGAGGGCCCTGCTTGCCCAGAGGACAGGACCAACAGGAGCACAACCCTGCCGCTG